CGGGATCATGACCTAAGCTGAAAGCAGACGCTTAACAACTGAGCCACCCAGGTGCCCCTCTCAAGCTCCTTTTTCCCCCAGGGACCCAAACACATGCCTCAGGACCCAGCAGAGCTTTCCCCCCACGTTTTCTCCCCATCAAGGCGTTGGCTTTCTGAAGCCCCTCCCACGTCTAGCTCTACACACACCTAAGTCCAGTCTGGAAATCAGAGGAACAGAGCACAGACCTGAGCCTCAAAAAAAAAAAAAAAGGAGGGAATGGGAATTGGGAGCAGAGGGAAACTGGGGTCCAGCCTCCAGGGTCCCACATACACCGCAGTGACTGGCCCAGCAAGCCTCCCTCAGAATCCGAGTGGGGCGGGTAGGAAGTATCCTTGATGCCTGGGTGTCCCCAACTTTCCAAACCCCCGCCCCCGCGATGGAGAAGAAACCGAGACAGAAGGTGTAGGGCCCACTACCGCTTCCTCCAGATGAGCTCATGGGTTTCTCCACCAAGGAAGTTTTCCGCTGGTTGAATGAGAGCCTTTCCCCGCCCTCTTCTCGCCCCACGGGTATATAAATGCAGCTGTTTGCACACCCAGCCAGCAGAAGCTCCCTCAGCGAGGACACCAGGGCACCGGCCAGGAGAGAGAGAAGCAACTCCAGACCCCCTGCAAATAACCTCTCAGACGACACACCCCCAGACAAGCAGCCAGGCGATTCTCTCCCTCTAATACCCACTGCCCCAGGGCTCTACCATCTCCCAACTGGACCTGAGCCCCGCTGGGAAGAACGCCATGAGCACTGAAAGCATGATCCGGGACGTGGAGCTGGCCGAGGAGGCACTCCCCAAGAAGGCAGGGGGCCCCCAGGGCTCCAGAAGGTGCTTGTGCCTCAGCCTCTTCTCCTTCCTCCTGGTTGCAGGGGCCACCACGCTCTTCTGCCTGCTGCACTTTGGAGTGATCGGCCCCCAGAGGGAAGAGGTGAGCGCCCCAGCAGGCTCGGCTCATTCTCAGGGGGTCGGGGAAAGGGGTGTGCTGATGGGGACCGGTGAGAGAGAAAACGTGGAGAAAGCTGGGGAGGCAGAAAGGGCCATGGAGAGAGATGGGGAAAGAGAGAGAGGGAGGGAGCCCGCGGAAGGTGCTCACTGAATGCTTCTCGAATGAACGAACGAGCCCGCAGACATGTGGAGAGAGAGATGTGGGGAGAGGGATGGGAACAGAACAAGTGATATGAATAAAGATGGTGAGACAGAAAGATGTGGACAATATGAGAGAGATAAGGAGAGATGTGAGGGAAGAGATACGGAAAGATGAAGATAGGGTGTCTGCTCGTGGAGGACACTCAGTGAAAGTGTTGTGCAAGGACTGAATGGTGAGAGAAAACTAGAGTACGAGCTACAGAAGCAGCCTGGCTGTTTCTCATTTAGGGGTGACTTGCTCTGATGCTAACCCTCCTTCTTCTCTCCAACAGCTCCCAGATGGCCTCCAACTAATCAACCCTCTGGCCCAGACAGTCAGTAAGTATCTCCAAAGCCTCTCTCCTAATTCTGCGCTTGGGTGGGGGTGGGGGTTGGTCCTGGGATAGCAGCAGTGGGGGAAATTCAGGGTTTTGGTTTGAGGGGAGGAGGCATGGAGGTCAAAGTAGCGGGATCTTTCCCAGGAAGCTTAAGGGTCTCACCGTTTTCTTTCTTCTTTCCTCCTCAGAATCATCTTCTCGAACTCCAAGTGACAAGCCTGTAGCTCACGTTGTAGGTGAGAGCTCTGAGGATTCAGCTGGCGGGCAGTGAAGCAGATAGGATGTGGAGGGATAGGATTTGGGGGCTGAACTCGGGCTGAGGGTAGACAGACCTTGGAGATGGTATGAGAAGGACTCGCTGGCCTTGAGGGGGATACTCAGAAGCTTGTGGCCAGATGGGAGGTGGGAAGACCGACAGAGGGGACAGGAACCGGATGTGGAGGGGTGTGCAGAACTTGAGGGCCAGGATGTGGAGAGTGGAACTGACAGGGTCACACTGACTCACCCCTCCCTCCTTCTCTCCTTCCCTCCAGCAAACCCCGAAGCTGAGGGGCAACTCCAGTGGCTGAACCGGCGTGCCAATGCCCTCCTGGCCAATGGTGTGGAGCTGACAGACAACCAGCTAATAGTGCCATCAGACGGGCTGTATCTCATCTACTCCCAGGTCCTCTTCAAGGGCCAAGGATGCCCTTCCACCCATGTGCTCCTCACCCACACCATCAGCCGCTTCGCCGTCTCCTACCAGACCAAGGTCAACCTCCTCTCTGCCATCAAGAGCCCTTGCCAAAGGGAGACCCCAGAGGGGACTGAGGCCAAGCCCTGGTACGAGCCCATCTACCTGGGAGGGGTCTTCCAACTGGAGAAGGGTGATCGACTCAGCGCTGAGATCAACCTGCCTGACTATCTCGACTTTGCCGAGTCCGGGCAGGTCTACTTTGGAATCATTGCCCTGTGAGGGGGCGGGACGTCCATCCTTGCCCACCTCAACCCCTTTATTATCTACTCCCTCTGACCCCCCCATCCCCTTCTGGCTTAGAAAGAGAATTTGGGGCTCAGGGCTGGGCCCCAAGCTTAGAATTTTAAACAACAACACTTACAAACCTAAGATCCAGGGATGTGTGACCAGGACACTGGAGCATTGGCCCCTACCAAGAATGCAAACTGGGGCTTCCAGCGCTCACTGGAGACCTCAGGTTTGGATCCCTCAACGCAACCTGGAACACTTGGAATGTGGGGGTCAGGGAACCTTTAGTTCTGGCTGGAACACTTCAGAACGTCCCTTGAGAAGATCTCACCTAGAACCTGACATGAGTGGACCTCAGGAGTCCCTTTCTTTAAATGTTTCCAGACTCTTCCTGAGAAGGAAAGCCCAGCCCCTCCCACATGGGGCCAGGTCTCTCTATTTATGTTTGCACTTGTGATTATTTATTATTTATTTATTATTTATTTATTTACTGATGAACGTATTTATTTGGGAGGTGGGGGTGTCCTGGGAGACCGAATGTAGGGGCTGCCTTGGCTCAGACATGTTTTCTGTGAAAACGGAGCTGAACTCTAAGGCTGTTCCCACCTGGACTCCTGGCCTCTATGCCTCCTTTTGCTTATGTTTTTCAAAAATATTTATCTGATCCAGTTATCTAAATAATGCTGATTTGGTGACTGACTGTCGCTACATCGCTGAACCTCTGCTCCCCAGGGGAGTTATGTCTGTAACCGCCCTACTGGTCAGTGGCGAGAAATAAAACGTGCTTAAAAAAGAAACCCCGTCTCTTTCTTGGAATTAATTCTGCATCTTCCTCTCCTTGGGGGTGGGAGGCCACTCCCTAAAGTCCTCTCTCTACAAGCCTGAACCTAGGGCACCTGGGTGGCTCAGTGTGTTGGGCGTCCGACTCTTGATTTTGGCTCAGGTCATGATCTCAGGCTGGTGGGATGGAGCCCCCCGAGTCTCAGCTGGGAGTCTGCTTCTCTCCCTCTCTCTCTGCCTCTCCCTCGGCTCACTCGCACGTGCACGCTCTCTCTCTCGCTCTTTCTCTCAAATAGATGAATAAATCTTAAAAATAAAAAAAATCCCTGAACCCATAAAATAAATACAAATAAAAGTTAAAAAAAAAAAAAAAGATCCCTGAACACAGTTCCCACTCGGGGGACTACTGGGGCTCAGGAGACCCTGCATATAACAAAGCCCTGGCAAATAGGCCCCTCCCCCAGGAAACTGGAGCCTGAACCTAATTACCTCTCCCTCAGGGCATGGGAATTTCCGACTCTGGGAATTCCAATGGGGAAGTCCTGCACCTCAAGTGCCCAGGTGAGATTTCCTGCTGTTCCTGCTGTTGCAGCCTGCGAGAGAGAGTCTGGGAAGGGTCACATTCTCAGGCACCTAAATCACAGGCAAAGGACTTCCAGACCTTCAGGCATCAGGGCTCCAAATTGCCTGATCCCAGGCTCCCCCAGCAGCCCTAACTGTACAACCTGAATCAGTTACTGAGCCTCATCTCCCCATGAAGACAGGACCACCTCCTGCATATGGGGCCACAAGAGAATAGAAGACCTAAGCTACATCAGAGCACCCAGCACAGCACTTGGCAGACTAAGCACTCAGTGAATTCTGACTTTCTTCCTTTGTCAAGCCACCAGCCGTTCTATCTGCTTCTGTCTCTCAGTGAGCGGAATTGAAGAGACGAAAGAAAATTTAAAAACAGGAATAGGATGCGAGTGAAGGACTCACAAGCCAGCTCTCACATATGTTCTTGGTGAATGATGAGGGGAGGGTCATGAGCTAGATGGGCTGGAAAGAGAAAAGCACCCTCTCTCTTCAGGAAAGTTCTTCTGGACACAGAGTCACACACAAATATGGAGTCAGAAATGAAGACCCAGGGGCGCCTGAGTGGCTCAGTCGGTTAACGGTCTGCCTTCGGCTCAGGTCATGATCCCGGGGTTCTGGGATCGAGCCCCGCATTGGGCTCTCTGCTCAGCGGGAAGCCTGCTTCTCCCTCTCCCTCTGCCCCTGCTCGTGTTCCCTCTCTCGCTGTCTCTCTCTGTCAAATAAATAAATAAATAAATAAATAAAATCTTTAAAAAAAAGAAAAGAAAAGAAAAGAAATGAAGACCCAGAGAGTGGGAGTCCCCACCGTGTTCAGAAGTTGGGGTTTCCTTCCTGCCAGGCTGCTGGGCAGGGGAAAACTGTGTGGTATGCCGCAGGGGTGGGATGACCCAGTGGGGTGACCTAGATAGGGCCTTGGGTCCCTCTCTGCCTCCCTCAGCCTGGAGCTGAAAGTCGGTCATGGGGTGCTTGGGGTGAGAGGGCTGCTGTTACTCACCCTGGGGCCCCCACACTTGCCAACGTGCGGAAAGCGGACCAGAGGGGTGAACAAGAGGTGAAGACCTTCCATCTCACCCTGGTTAGGGCCAAGGGCCCCAAAGTTTCTCCCTCTCCTCCCCAGCTTCGCCCTGGTGTCCCAGGCCCTATCTTTTGGCCTCCTCCCTCACACCCAATGAGCTGTGTGTTCTTCCTTGGAGGACAGTGGAGTGTGGGTAGTGGCTAACGGGGCTTTCAGGCAGCCAGGCAGGCAGCAGGGAAGAAGTACTCGGCCCTCAGGGCTTTATTCCTTCTCCCCAGCCTGGTTCCTCAGAACGGGGCTGGCCTTCCCCTGTCAGGATTCCTGTCACTGACGGGAGGGACCCAAGAGAAAAGAATGCAGGTAGAGTCTGGTGAGGCCTCGGAGGATCTGCGAAGGAGGCTTAGAGAGGCTTTCGGTTTGAGGGGATCCCCTTCTTCCACCTTCCCACTGGGCTAATGCTGGGGCAAGTTCATTCAGAGATAGGAGGTGGGTGGGAAACCAGCAGATCTCCTTCTCAGAGGGCAGAGGCCATAGGAAGTGGTGTGAATTGTTTCGAGCAACCAGAATTAGAGACTATGTAACGGCCCCTTGCGTACCCACCATGAATCAACACATGTGAGCACCTGGACACCCTTGTTCGGCAGCACTAAAGCTTTACATTCTTTATTTTCTTCAGGCTCGCGATCAGTTTCCAGACAGTCTCCTGCATTTTCCCCGCTGCCACGGGGTCCCTGGAGTCTGGGTCTCCAATATCTGGGCTGAGTCACCCGTCCCTACCAGGCAGTCGTTTATCCCCGCCTCACCCCACCATCACCGCCCCGAAGAAGGTCTTCCCTCTCCTGTAGTCCACCATATCGGGGTGACTGATGTTGACGTACACCCTCTCGCCCCTCCGGAGCTGCACCAGGCCGCCGAAGCCCACACTCGTGTACCAGAGGGGCCCGTACTCGCGCGTCCGGGCCGGGTCCAAGACCGGGGTGACGGTCTCTGCGCCCTCGAGCAGCAGCTCGGGCGTCCCCGGCCCATAGGCGCCCCCCGCCCGGTACAGCCGGCTGCGCAGCGTGACCGAGCGGTCCGGCAGGCCCCCGCCGGCAGGGGGCGCCCGGCCCCGGTAGCCGACGTGACAGTAGAGGTAGTAGAGGCCGTCCTGCGGGAGCGCCAGCCCCTCGGCGCCCGAGAACTGCGTCCCGCTCCTCAGAAACGCCTCTTCTTTCTTCGCCTCCCAGCCTAGCCCCTGCCCCTTCGTCCAAGCGCCTGCGGAGAAACGGGGGCCTGTCGGCGCTCGGGAAGCCGATCCTGGAGGAAGGATCCAGGCCCGAGACTTCCGAGAGGGTGAGCAGGAGGGAGAATGGGGGCTCTTAACCCCCTGCAGGAGCCGAGCCGAGCCGGGGGCGGGGCGAGGGCGCGCGGCGCCCCCTCAGCAGTGATTTGGGGGAGGGGACCAAGGGCACCCGAGTGCGGGGTGCGGAGCGCGGTGGTGGGGCGGTGGGGAAGATCCAGGCTGGGTTTGGACAGCTCCAGGAGGGAAGCAAGAAGATGGATTGCGGGAGGAGAGGAAGGTGGGCACTTTAGGGACCAGAGGTGGTGAAGGAGGTCGGAAACCGAGCCCTGCAGTGACAGAGCAAAGGGAATCTAACTGTGGGCCGCAGCGCCGGTCCCTTGGACTACCTATGAGATCCTTACCTATGAGGTGGGCGGCTGGGAGCCTGGAGTTGAAATCTGTTTCTGCCTCCTCCTCTGGCAGCTCCTGTGACTCTGGAAGGGGGGGAAGAGTCCACGATTGGGGGCCAGGGCGGCCTTCCATGCATGGTCCCCCTGAGAGGACAGGGCGCCAGGGCGGGATTCCCGGGGATGCAGATGGATGGGAGCTGGGCATCCCTGAAGGGCTGGAGCAGGGGAGGGGGAGATGGTCTGCTCTTACCCAATCGCTGCTGGGCCTGGGCCTGTGCCCCTGGGTCAGTCGTCCCTGTAACCTGGGTGGGTGGGGTCACAGTGCCCAGAGTTCAGTGTTAGCTGATGCCAACCCCACCCCTCCCAACGCAGACCCAAGCTCCAGGCCTGGGGTCTTTCCTACCAGTCCCACCCCCAACACACATCTCCCTGGGAGGGAGAGCAAGCGAGGCATAGGTACTCAGAGCCGGGGGCCTGAGTATGTCTTGGGAAGAGGAGAGGAGACAGCCAGACAACCAGGAAGGAACTTGGAGCTTTCAGGACACAACAGCATCGCGGGAACAGTGGAAAGAGGACCAGCAAAGAGGCAGACAAGGCATCCCCACCAGGGACAGCCAAGCCAACTGAGCAGGATGAGACGAGAGAGCCCCAGGCGTAGCTAGAGGTAAGTGAGCATCAGCAGCACGCAACCCCTGCAGGGCTGGTCGCAGCTACTCACCAGTCCTCGTCCCTGCTCCTGCGGCACCAAGGCCAGCACAGCCAGGACAGTGATAGGCACGGCCAGCAGCAGGGTCACCAGGGAAGTGGCTCCTGCCACAGCCAGCAGGAGGCAGCCCTTCCCCTGGGGCCTCCTACCCCGGCCCTCTAGCCCCAGGGCCCCCATTGAGACTGAGCCAGGACCAGGGCAGGGGGGCTTTCATACCTCAGGGGTGGGGCCACCCCCTCCCCATAGACCCACACACCTGGCTGGGACTTTCCGCACACCCCTGCTCCCCTCACCCAGCTTCCTGTTTACCCAGAGCTGGGGTGGGGCAGCTGGATGCCCGGGTTCTCTGAACTGGGGAAGAAGTTGGGGTGAAGTGACAGGCTTGTAGGGTAGAGCTGGAGGGGGCCTTAGAGATCCGGTTCAGCAGGGAGGGAAACTGAGGCCCAGGGAGGGACAGTAGCTTACAGAGAGTCAGGCAGCAGAGCAGCGCGAGGAGAACACCGCACACCAGATTTCCAGGGCGGTCTGCGTTCTTCTACACCCCAGTGGTGGGTGCTGGGAGGGAGGGCTGTGTCCACGTCCCTGAGGTCAAGGGCTGGAATAGGAGGACAAGAACTGAGGTCTTGAGAGATGGATATTCAGGTCCCTGAGAAGAACTTATGCCAGCACTAGACCAAATCTCCTCCTTCCATTCCCTCATTCACCCCAGAGTTTGGTGAGAAGCAGAGTTAAGCCAGTCCACAGAAATAGCAGCTGAAAGGGGCCTCAGCCTCCCCACTGACTATTGACTCACTGAGGAGGGATGGAAATGAGCATTACCTCCCTTGCTCCACAGAGGGTAGGTGGGAGAGCAATAGGGCACGGCCCCACCCTCAAAGAGCTTGCTGTCTACAGTGAGCCCCATCCATTTAGCAGGTGCTGACTACATGTTTAGGAATAAATGAAGAAAGGACAAATGAATGAATGAGGAAGCAAAACAGAGCAGCAACAAATGGTATGGTAGACAGTGCAGTGGGAGGAAAGACCAGGTCCAAGGAAGTTGGAGGTGGTCTCAGATCATGTCTCCTTCTTGATGACATCTCTGTGATTAGGGACTAATAATAATAATAATACAGCTATTATACAAATAGCACTTAGCAAGTGCTTGCCACTGATCTACACACTTTATATATAATAATTCTTTTAATCCTGACAAAAACCCAAAGAAGAAACTGAGGCACAGAGAGGTTAAGGAACTTATAGAAGGCCACACAGGAGTGGCAGAGTCAGGATTTGAACCCAGGCAGTCTGGCTCCAGAGCCTTGACCACAAGACAGTTTAAAAAAAAAAAACAAAAAACCCTGAGTACTGACTTCAGATTCGTACATTTTAATGTATGTAAATCTTGCCTCCCTCAAAAAAGAAATGGGGAAACAAAAGCTGGACTCGAGTCACTGATAAGCATGGTAAGAGGTTTAGGGGTAAAATATGTACTGATGTTTGCAACTTTGAAAGTTTTCCAAAAAATGAGATAGATTGTTAGGTATGTGATAAAGCAAATATAGAAAACTGTCCATTTTAGAATGTAGGTGGTAGGGATATGTTCACTGTAAAATTATTTCAATTTTCTTCTGTGTGAACATTTTAATAATAAAATGTGTGGAAAAAAAACAAAACCGTGAATATTGTCCTGCTGTCCAACACGGGGAACATTGTAGATGGGGGGAGAGAGAAGAAATGCCAGAAAGTTTCTGAATTTGAAGAACGAAATGCAAATGCATATGGACCCAGGCACAGATACCCTCCTTACCTCCTGCCCCCACATGAGCTCCCCAGTCTTCACTCTCCGTAAGGACTGGGTGTGCAATCTTCCAGCACCCATCTCCCTCTCTATCTCAGTGCCACTAAGAGGCCTTCATCCAGGTCTCTGTCCAGAAGGTCTCGGATCACAGCCCTTGTGTGCCTAACATCAGAATGCTGCCTCCTACAGGCAGTCCACCGAGACTGCCCCCATTCTTTCCCATCACCAACTTGTCACCAGCTTTCTGTCCTAGACTATGAACAGTACTCATATACTCCTGTACATCTATCTAGCCTAGCTGCCTCTGATTCTGTTCGTTAATCAGTCAAGTGTCCTGCTAGATATAGCCCCAGAACACCAGGCAAGTTACGCCAAATCTACCAGAGCTCCCACTCTGATGTGGGAGCCTGGGTGTGTGTCTACACGTACACATTGGGATCATGAGCTCTCAGGGGATGCAGTGCGAGGGGTAATTGGGGAAAAACTAATCAGGGAAGGTACCTAGAGGAAGTATACACTCACTGACTACTTGCAGAATCAATAGGATGGCTGGAGCTGTGGGGGATTATAGGCTTAGTTACAGTCCTCGGAGTCTGAAAGAAAAGATGTTGTAACCCTAACCTTCAAAGCCTAACTTCCTCTCCTGACGAAGCTAGGGAAGCATCCAGACTAGGGGAGACGTTAAAGCCAGAGGAGGGGCAAGAATGTTTGAAGTGGCAACACCTCTCCACCCAGGCAGCTGCGGCCAGTCTGGAGTCTGTCTACCCACAGGCCACAGGCTCTGGATAAGCTGGGAGAGAGCAGGAGCCCTGGTGGGGAAAACGGGGCAGGGAGAGGCAGTCACACCCTGCAGTGAAGTGAAGCCAAGATGACAGAAGAGAGTATGGCTTTGGGGTTCCCTGAGCCCTGGAGGCATCTGCTGTCCAGCTTCTGTCTCTGCTCCCAAAGAATTAAATACAATCCACTTCTGCCTCCACTTCCCCTCATGGCAACCACAGGTCCTCCTCTCCACCTGTTTCTGCTCCCCAACCCACCCCCACACACACCCCAGCACTCCTCTTGAGCCCAGGAGGGTCCCAGTTTCCAGGCCCTGGTCAGCGCAGCTGGCTCTGGCGGCATGAAGTCGGCAACCCCCCTCTTTGCCCTCAAACAGGAACCAGTGGTTGCAGGGCAGGAAGTGCCTGAGGGGAAGTTATGGGGCCCAGACTCTCCTCCATGCCCCACTTCAGCCCCAGCAGTATCTGTCCGTGGGAAGTGGCTCCCCACACCAGCCACATAGGGCCCTGCTCTCCAGAGCAGCTCTGGGCTGAGGGAACGGCCCCAGCTGCCGGGTAGCTCCCTGTGTTTCACTGGTCCACACACACACCACCGGAAACCCTGGTTTCTCCTCCTCCGTCAGCCCCTCACCAGAACCTAGAACTACCCAGTGCTGGAGAGGCCCCCATGAACCACCTAGTCAGCCTAAGGCAGAGGAAGAGGGGTGTGCTCTGGAGCTCTGGGGTTCCAGGCCAGCTCTGCCACTTCTAGGCCGAACCTTCTCGTAAGAGTCTCGACTCAAGTCTCAGATTCCTCACCAGGGAAACGGGTACCATAATACCCTACGTGGTGAGGATTAGCAATGACAAAGGGAAAGTGCCCAGGTCAGGATTGGCACATCAGTGGGGCTCCTCAGCCCTAGAACAGTTGTAACAGAGGGCCCCGCACTTTACAGATGAGGAACTTGAGGCACGTGACTTGGCCCAGGCCATTTAGCCTAGCAGAGCAGGGCTAGGTATCCCGACCTCCAGGTCAGTCGTCAGTGCTTGACCTAATGGCAACTTGTAAGGCATGGACAGAGGTAAGGTAACCCACTGCACAAGGAGGGTGGAGGGTATACAGGGAACAGAGAATAGAAAGCACTACATGTGCATTCTTGAGTAGCTGGCCAGGGGACAACTGGTGCGGGTGGGCGAGGGACCTTATGGGGAGACCCAGAGACAGCAGGGATGGCAGTGGGAAGCCTCTGAGGGGTGAGTGAGGTAACCGGTGAGAGATGGGCCCCTCTGCTAGGAGGTGAGGTAATCCGATCTGGGGTGAAGAATCTGAGTATGTTTTTCTGCCTCTAAAACTGTTGGAGAGCAGGGCAGAGATACCCACGGCCAACCAGGAGGATGGGGAGAGCCGAAGGCAGAAATGGGTCCCCAATACCTACCCCTTTTCCCTGCAGATCTGTGCCTTTACCTATATGGCGGGAGCTTGGGGCTTGGGGGGGCTCCTGCTCCTGGCTCTGGTCATTGTGTCCGCCTGTCTGTGTCGGCTGCATCGGAAAGGTGAGCTCCGTCGCCCACAGCGGTGCCCCGGGTCGCCCCCACCCGCACCCTTTCCTACTGCTTTCCCAGAAGTGCCCGTCACTTCCCACCCGCCCCGGGAGAGGAAGGTGGGAGAGAGGAGACGAGAGTGTCCAAAGAGGGAGGCTGGGGTTTTGGCCATGGGAACCACAGAGATGTCAGCAAGTGAGGAAACACCCTCTGGGGTGGGGGGAGTGGGGGGGGGGCCTGCTGAGCTTCTTCTTTTCTTCCAGTGAAGAGGCTGGAGAGGAGCTGGGTGAGTCTTGGGGCCGGGAAGCTGGTGATGGGGGCAAGAGGAGGCTGAGGGCTGAGGCGGGTGGAGGCAAGAAAAGCGAGGGAAAGCGGGGGGCGGGGGGCGGGGGGGGCATGAGAGAGCCGGAGAGGCAGAGAAAAAAGAGGCAGAAAGAGAGAAGAATGAGAAGAGCAGAGAGAAATGGTGTAGAGAAAGGAAAAGGGAATAAGACAGAAAGGAGAGAGAGGAAGAAACGAGAGAGAAATAGAGAACGAGAGAGATGCAGGGCAAGAGAAAGAGAGGGAGCATAAGAACAACAGAGACCCAGGGAGAAGAGGCAACGAGAGAAGAGAGCAGGGGCTCAGGCGGGCAGAGACAGAGGGCGGGGGCGCTGAGGAGGCCGTGAGGTACAGGGGGGTGGGCAGCACCCTGCGGGCAGGACCGGGGGAGGGGGCTCCTCCGGCGACCTCCCAGCAGCACCTTCTCCCTGGCCCCAGGCCCAGCTCTCAGAGCAAGAGCTCCACTATGCATCTCTGCTGCCCGTGCCCTGGAGGGAGAGGCCTGACCTCAGCCACAGGGAAGGGGCCAAGGAGGAACCCAGCACCGAATATGCCTGCATTGCCAAGAACTAAGCCACCGGAGCTCCCCCAGATGCCTCCCTGAATCCAGGCGGACCCTGTGGTCCACCCAGTAAAAACCATGTCCCGCCACCTTCTGCGTCTCAGGCTTCTCAGTCCAACTTAACTCCGTCCCATTCAACAGGGCCACCAAAAACTTAAGCGACTTATCTTCCCACCCGTTCTGGGGTCGAGTAGTGATTTCTCAGGGGAAGAAGGGTGTTGAGGGACCCAAGTTCCCCTGAAGGCCAGAAAGAGTACACGCGTGGGCCTGGCTGGAATGGGGAGTCGACACGTAGGACTCATCAGATCTGATACTCCCCATTTCTCAGGAGAATCCGCCTCAGCCTCCTGTACCCCAGAAAGGTGGAGATGCTGAGCCCTGGGATGATGATGGGAGGGGGCTCCAGGCACGGTTACCGGGAAGCTCACTCCTTGGACCTTTCCAGGCCAGGCTTGGTAGAAGAGAGAGTTAAGAGTCGGGGGACCCCAGAGAGGGTCATATTGGGGTACCTGGTAATGGAAAAGGAAACACATGAGACTCATAAGAAGGCATTAGCGGTGGGGCAGAGGAGGATTTATTGGGGTCTCTTGAAGACATCTGGATGACTGGGGTCTGGAATCACTCATCAGCGGCATCTAAGAAGTGGCGGCGTGTTCCCAGGTGACGGTGGCCTGCAGGAGAGACCACAGGAGTTGCTCGGCAGCTGCCGCAGCCCTCCTCCCGCTGCTCTGTCTCCCCCTCCTCCAGCTCTCTTCCACCACTGCCCTCGCCCCCTTCCTTACATTTGCCTTGGTAATAGATGCTGCTGCCCACGGCCACACACATAAAGCTGAAAGCATAGAATCCAGCCCGAAGGAGGAGGACTGTGCTGGCCCCTAGCCGAGGAGGTCCTGCATGGGGGCGGTAGACGGAAGGGGTGAAGGGGGGACCTAAGGAAGAAGCAGGCACAGGCCCAGGGAGGGACAGAGAGCAGGGGGCCTCAGGGAAAGACTCCCACCTTCCAGGAGGAGTGGGGTCTCCCATCTCACCTTTCTCCACCACCAGCAGAGTCCCGTTCCCCGTCCCCACACCTAGGCCCAGCACCTCCACCCTGCACACGTAGACTCCAGCATCACAGTCTTGGGTGTCCCAGATGTGCAGCTCGGCCTGATGGTCATAGAGGAAACGGGAAGAGGGAAGAGGGGCCAGGCGGCCCCTGAACCCCGGGGTCCCATTCCTCACTTCCTTCTCTGGGGCCACCTTGTCCCGGTACCACGTGACAGAGCCAATGGCCAATTTCCCTCGGCTGGCATTGAAGGAGCAGGGTAAGAAGGCAGCGGTGCCCTCCTGGGTACGAATCTCCGGGGGCTGGAACACCCAGAGAGCACAGGATCCTGGCAGACAAAGAGAAGACCCAGAGAAACACCTCTCCGGTTACAATATAGAGAAAGGACAAGAGAGCTTGCAGCAGAGTATCCCAGAGGTGTCCCCACCCACAGAGGACCCAGAGGATCAAGCACTTTGCTACCTCATGAAACCCTTTGCTCTCCACCAGCCTCATTTCTTAACATTGTTTATCGAATCGTTTTTCAGGGCGCCTGGGTGGCTCAGTCGTTAGGCGTCTGCCTTCAGCTCAGGTCATGATCCCAGGGGCCTGGGATGGAGCATCACATCGGGCTCCCTGCTCCTAGGGAAGCCTGCTTCTCCCTCTGCCACTCCCCCTGCTTGTGTTCCCTCTCCTGCTGTCTCTCTCTGTCAAATAAAGAAATAAAATCTTAAAAAAAAAAATAAAAAATAATTAAATAGTTTTTCAAATCCTTTCCTATACCAACTCTCATCCTTACCCCATCCCATCACTGTCCAGCTACATTCACTAGTAGTGTCTTGCTGAAACTTAACCTGTCCCATTGAAATCGGAGCTCATTAATGAATGTGGCTGCCTAGCTAACTAATAATTAACTATATTATTCCAGGTATTATTTTCATACCAATGGCATACCGTATACAGTACACCACCCTTGCTGCTTTGTTTTTTGTTAAAAGAGCATTAACTAATAAAGTCTTCAGGGGAAGACATAGCAATAATTGATTGAAATCCCTCTTTAACTCAACCAAATGGATGAACTAAAGCAATTCGTAAAATCTCCGATTAGATTCTCTAGTTCATGAAATTTACCTGCCATTCTTCTATTTCAGTGGTTCTCAAGCTTGAGAGCACATCGGAATCACCTGGAATGTCTGTTAAAACAGATTCCTGGGCCCGACCCCTGAGGTTTTTACTCATTGGGTTTAGAGTCGGGCCTGAGAATTTGCCCCAGGTTCCTAGCTGATGCTAAAACTGTGAGTCTGGAGTCCACACTGCATTTAGTTCATGGATACGGCTGATAGTTAACGTCCCTCAGTTAATTAAAATCAGTTTCACTGAGAAACTTCCCTCAGAGTTAATTAGGTCTCCCAAACTCCTAATTACATCTAGACCCTAGATAATAAGCCGTGTTTAATAGGCTTATTAAGTTCATCAAATTAAAATTGACCCCTTCAAAAAAAAATTTCACCTCTTCCTCCCTTCCAGCTCTTTATACTGGTTCTTCAACTCTTATCTTACTAGGATGGTGGCTGAGAAGAAAGAACCACTGGGACGGAAGCTGGGGTGTGGCCCTCCCAGTGGGCAACAAGGAGAAATGGAGGGAATTGTGAACTGGGGGTGTCCACATTGCTTCGGATTCTGGAGGACCCCACCCACTCCCACTCTCCTTTCTGGGCCACTCCCCTCAGGCCTCAATGTCAGCCTCCCCCATCCTCACTCCTCCCGCATCACACCCCTCAGGGTTCTGGGAGAAAGCCCTCTCACCTGGATGGACCATGATAAAGATGAGCAACAGCATCCGGGTCGTGTCAGAGGGTGTTCCAGTTGGCAAAGGGGATCTGAGAAGTAAGGTCTGGGTGGAGGAAGAACAATCTAGTGCTTGTGGCCAGGCCTTTGGTCACCACCAGCTGGAGGTGGGGAGCGTCCTATGACACACAGGAGTCACACATCACTTATCAAGGACCTGGGGCCTGGGATCTCGGGCATCACATGCATGCCTCCTTGAGGAGAGAGGATTCTGCTAATGGCAGTATCTGGGTCGCTAGGAGGCGGGGACAACACCTGGTCCAGTGGCCTAAGTGTTTGAGGGGGAAGGGAGGGCTGAGATGGCAGCTCACACTAGGGTGGGTGGGTGAGACCAGGATGTGGTTCCCCTACCTCCTGAGGTTCGAGAAGACCAACGCTTTACCCAGAATACGCCTCCAGGAGCCCTCCTGGGCCCAGAGCTAACCTACTCCCCACCCCCCGCCCCCCGCCGTCTTGGCTCAGCAGTGCCCAGAACCACCCCATCTGTTCCCTTCCCTCTAGGCTGGCCCACCCCTAGGACTGCTCTAGAAATTCTATAATAGAGGGGATTAAGAGAAGCAAGCTGATTGGTGGTGGCAGTGGGCGGTTGCTAGGGACTTTGGAAGCTTCATTTGCATAGCAATCAACAACCTGTTTTACTTAGATCGCGTAGACTTGGGTGGTTTGGCTGATGAGTGAAAGCAACGGATGGAGAGGTCTGGACTCATTCATATTCAGATCTCCATTAAAGGAATATACCTCTCGCTGAGGTCCGCTTTACTCATTGTGTTCTGCAAGTACTTGTCACCCACTGGTAAACCCACTCTGTTATTTTTTTCACTGTTTAGCTAGCATTTCTTGAGAAACTACCAAGTGCCCTTACATGAAAAATATTCTTACAGACACAAAGGAAAGACTTTGAGTTCATAACTGCAAGGTTATACAGGGATTGGTACAAGAATATACCACACATTCTTGGATATGCATTACACACCTACATGAGACCGCACAGCCCATAGAAGAGGAGAATTACATGAACAATGCCGGGGAAGGCATGCGCCCAGCCCCTCAGGGCACAGTTCTCTCTGGCTCCTTTGATGTTAATGCATCTTTTTCCCTGAGGGTCCCTGTCTCTAGCTCTGTTTCACAATACATTGTGAAATTCCCATTCTTCCCTGCAGTGATCTAGAGTTTTGTTTTGGAGTATCAGCAACGTCATGGTTAAGAATGCTGGCTTGAGGGCGCCTGGGTGGCTCAGAGGGTTAAGCGGCTGCCTTCGGCTCAGGTCATGATCCCAGAGTCCTGGAATCGAGTCCCTCATCAGGCTCCCTGCTCAGTGGGGAGCCTGCTTCTCCCTCTGCCTCTCTCTGGCTCTCATGAATAAATAAATAAAATCTTAAAAAAAGAATGCTGGCTTGGAGTCAGCCTGGGTTCAAAGGCCAGCCCCTTCACAAACTAGTTATACGATCCTGAACATATTTAGCCTCTCCAAACCACCTACACGAGCACCCGCACCACATAATCTGGTGAGGACTGACTCAGCCGTTCTCCAGTAGTAGCTGGGCTTCCTCCGGGCCTCTAACCTGAGGGTGAGGGTGTGGGACGCAGGTGCCCTTGGCAAGGCAAGGGCTGCCCCCTGCTGGCCATGGAGCATGGGGAGGCCTGAGACGCCCCTGGGTGGTTTTTCCCGAATGGGCCTTAATTCCAGCTTCGGCCCAGTCCCCTTACCTTGCCTCGTCCGATCAACAGCCCATGTCCACCCCAGAGAGTCAATGTGGAGGAAATTGTCTCTTCTACTCAACGATGAGAAGCCCAGAGTTTGAGGAGGGAGTTGAGATCACCACCGGTGGAGTGGGGGTGTGAGGGTGGGGTGGGCAACCGGCCAAAGGGAAAACTCCACACTTTCAAGGTACACCCACAGGGCACTGCTCCCTGTCCCAGGACAATGTGGCTTGGAAGTTAAGTCAGCCTGAGTTGGCATCCTGGTTCCATCGCTCACATATCCGTGAGATGAGAACAGTATCTGTCCATTTCCAGACTTCACTGTATGGGATGCTCAGTGTAGGTTTTCCCCAGGTCCTCCCCAGTCTGGGGCTAGGATGACCATTGTTACAGCTGCGCCCGAACTCAAGGATACCTTGCTCTCTCCATCTCTTGTCTCTACCCAAGATTTCCAATATCCAAAAATGTTGTGGATTCCAAAGATTGTACTTGGATTTCTTTTAAGTCCATCTAGAGTAAATCCTGGAGTACGTGTAGATTCAGGGACCCTTTCAATAGCTCTGAGACTCTCTAGGGAACTTTAACCAGCAGGATGGGAACTGCTGCACTAATCAGCCCAGGGATGGACTTTTTCAAAAGAAACTTTTAAGAGGAAAGGCAACGAATGAAGAAGTTGTGGAGTGGATGTGCACTCATCTTGGGTCTAGTTTCTTTACTTATTTATTTTGAAACCAACTTTTTTTTTTAAGATTTTATCTTTTATTAATCTTTACATCCACCATGGGGCTTGAACTCACAACCCCAAGATCAAGAGTCACATGCTCCACCACTGAGCCAGCCGATGCCCCTCTGGTCTAACTTCTTTTTTTTTTTTTTTTAGATTTTATTTATTTATTTGAAAGAGAGAGACAGAGATAGTGAGAGAGAGCACAAGTGGGGAGGAGAGGGAGAAGCAGCTTCCTGCAGAGCAAGGAGCCTGATGCGGGACTCGATCCCAGGACCCCGGCATCATGACCTGAGCCGAAGGCAGACGCTTAACCGACTGAGCCACCCAGGCGCCCTCTGGTCTAACGTCTTTAACACCCCGCCATGGGCTTCCTTGGAGGTGGTCAGAGCTCAGAGCAGGAAAAGAGGTGAAGGCACAGAAGGAACCCTGGAATCCCAGCACCGTGATCCCATCTTACCGGGGATTTCCTCCTGTGCTGGGAGTGGTGAGATGCAGGTGACTCCTCCTCTGGCCAAGTCCTTATAAACATTTTCAACAAATTAGCAGCCCCCACGTTCCACTTTCAGTCTCTAACCACAGCTTCTCCTCTGAGGCTCATGCATCCGACCCTGCCGCCTTCCGCCCCCTTGCCGTCAAGGTCTGTTCTCCTTCACATTCACCAAGAGCAGGCACCTAACTCTCCAGCTTCCTCTCTATTTCAACCTCTGCCATCTCTCTGGGAACTTCATGTCCACGTAAATGATATTTTTATTTTTTTATTTTTTTTTAAGATTTTATTTATTTATTTGAGAGAGAGAATGAGATAGAGAGAGAGAGAGCACGAGAGGGAAGAGGGTCAGAGGGAGAAGCAGACTCCCCGCTGAGCAGGGAGCCCGATGCGGGACTCGATCCCGGGACTCCAGGATCATGACCTGAGCCCAAGGCAGTTGCTTAACCAACTGAGCCACCCAGGCGCCCCACGTAAATGATATTTTTAAACACTGAGATATAATTATATACAGCAAAATGCAGGTCTTTTTTAAAAAAAATTTTAAGTGCACAGATCTTAAGTGTACAGTTCAGTGTGCTCTGGCAAACCTATACACACCTGCAAGTGAGATACAGATCATTTCCATCACTCTAGAAAATTCTCCCATGCCTCTTTTTGGTCAGTCCCTTTCCCTTCTCAGAAGCAACCACTGATTTATACCCCTATAAATGTATACCCCTGTATTATATCTCTATTCTTGAACTTCGTATAAGTGTGATCACATAGTATACACTCTTGTATCCAGCTTCTTTCATTCTGTATAATGTCTGTGAGATTCATCTATTGTGTGTATCAGTAGCTTGTTCCTTTTTATTTTTTTTCTGAGTGGTACTCCGTAATATGGATGTACCAGTTTATTCATCCACTCACCTGATGATGTACAAGTGGGTGGTATGAACATTCTTGCACACATCTTGTAAATGATTTTTCTTTTCTTTCTTTTTTTTTAGAGAGTGTGTGCGAGGTGCAGGGAGGGGCAGGGGGACAGAATCTTTTTTTTTTTAAGATTTTTTTTATTATTATTTATTTATTTGACAGAGAGAGACACAGTGAGAGAGGGAACACAAGCAGGGGGAGTGGGAGAGGGAGAAGCAGGCTTCCCACCGAGCAGGGAGCCCGATGCGGGGCTTGATCCCAGGACCCCGGGACCATGACCTGAGCTGAAGGCAGACGCTTAACGACTGAGCCACCCAGGCGCCCCAGGGGGACAGAATCTTAAGCAGACTCCATGCTGAGCACTGAGCCCAACTTGGGGCTCGATACCACAACCCTGAGAGCATGGCCTGAACTGAAATCAAGAGCCTCCCAGGGCGCCTGGGTGGCTCAGTCGTTAAGCGTCTGCCTTCGGCTCAGGTCATGATCCCGGGGTCCTGGGATCGAGCCCCGCATCGGGCTCCCTGCTCCTTGGGAGCCTGCTTCTCCCTCTCCCACTCCCCCTGCTTGTGTTCCTGCTCTCTCTCTCTCTGTCAAATAAATAAATAAAATCTTTAAAAAAAAAAAAAAAAAGAGCCTCCCAGGTGCCCAACAAATGATTTTTCAATATACTGATTTCACAGTTGCTTTCCCTGGTCTACTCCAACCATCACCTTATTCTACATGTCACCATGGAAGTTGTTCCCCTTTGGAATCTTACCTCCCCCTTCCCAGGGAAATAAAACCAATTAGGCCTGAGTCCCTCCAGACTCCTGTACCCTATACATGTGCTTTCATATGATTCATGATTCAGCTGTTGGTGGACCTTGGGGTGCTTTCTCTCTCACTGTCTTTGTTTCTTTTTTTTTTTTTTTTTAAGATTTTATTTATCTATTCAGTAGAGACAGAGAGAGAGAGGCAGAGGGAGAAGCAGGCTCCTGCAGGGAGCCCGATGCGGGACTCGATTCCAGGACCCTGGGATCATGACCTGAGCCGAAGGCAGACGCTTAACCATCTGAGCCACCCAGGCGCCCTCTCTCTCACTTTCATTCAGCGAACTGCGAGCACCTACCATGGGGCTTACCCAGGCGCCTCTGTCTTAGCCAGTCTTAACTACTGCATA